CTAGGATTTTTTTTTTTTTTGAGTTGGAGTCTCACTGTGTCACCCAGACTGGAGTGCAGTGGCCGCTCCCGGCCACCGCAGCCTCAACCTGCTGGGCTCCGGTGATCCTTCCGCCTCAGCCTTCCAAGTAGCTGGAACTACAGGCGCGCGCTACCACGCCTGGCTAATTTTTTGATTTACTGTAGAGATGAGGTCTCGCCAAGTTGCCCGGGCGGGTCTCGAATCCGCGGTCTCAGGCAATCCACTTACCTCAGCCTCCCAAAGGCGCGGGATTACAGGCTCAGCCACCGAGCCCGGCCCCTCTAGGATTTTTAAAGACAATATAAAAGCAGATTAATTTATGTTGCCATATATACCTCTAGGGCATGCTTTATCAAAAAATAAACCAGACAAAAAGAATTGAGTACAATTGAACACTGGTTGCTACTCCCCAACTTCTCTTCTAAGTAACTTGCCAGTGAATACAAAACAATGTTCCTTTACAAGTGCCAAGCTACAAAAATTGTTAGGGATCTTCCTCCAATTAATGTCCTAATTAAACTATTTATTATGAGCTTTCTATCAAAATGATTGAATTATGATCATTTACAGACTGTATAAAACTCTAGTTTGTGACTTAAGATTGTTAAAATATTTTTCTCTTTTTAAACAAGTTGACTAAGAGTAATGCTCAGCTAAAATATGTAAAATACAAACATGAAGAACTTCCCTAATATTGGACATTTAAATTGTTTCTAAAATTTTGATATTATAAGCAAGGCAAACAAACATTATTTTCATGTAATTTTTTTTGCATATCAGACTGTGCCCCAAAAAATATAATAACTGAAAGGTAATAATTAAGATTTCTCAGCCAAACTATATAAAACATTAGGGTGATAAACTTAACTAAAAAAGGAATCCTTTAATGCAGATTTAGATTATATGGACTCATCACTCTGTATATCACTACCCTGAGTTGGCCATATATTTGTTGAGAATAAATAAAAGACACTTTTGTTTTCTCCAAGAAACTTGGAGCATTTATATTCCCCACTTACAGATAATCATTCGTTCATATTTAATTACATCTTACCTTTTTATTAAGCAGTACCACAGAGCATCTTATGCCATACTACTACTAATTATAAATATCTTCAGGAGAAAGAGGTCCCTTGATTCTAACTCCTTGACCCCATAATGAAGGTATTAAGATCCCAGACTTGGTTTGACATAGTGAAAACTAGTTATCCCCCTGTTCTCTGGCACATCAGCTAGGCGGGATTGGCATTTATTAAGTCAAACTAGGCACAAAAGGGAAGCACCAAGTGAGCCAAACTGTTATTTATGCTTATAGTAAAAGATGAATCCTTCCTGCGTGGTCAGGGAAAAAAAAATCCCTTTCTTCTCTATGCTTCCCAGTCTAAGAAATGAATAATAAAATTAAAAACAAGTCAGCATATCACTAAGTAAATATTCAACATAACATTTATCCTTGCCTTTTGTTTACAAAGATGCTTATGTTTTTACAGAAAGCTTGTTCTTTTAATATTTAGGCTCATGTTCCAAATCCAACTATTTTATTAAACATTACATAATTTAAGAGTTAATTTCAATAAGGGGAGGATAAACGAACACTTCCATTAAACTGTAATAAGACCAGAGGTTGTTTTTGAGACACAAGGTTTGTAAAATTTCAAACACTGAGAAAAAGAAACCTGCCTAGCAAACTGAGCTGCCCACTAACATAGAAAACTAAAAGTTGACTCTGCTTTCTGTTCATTTGTTCAGTTGGTTATTCTAATCTCAGATTCACCACTTAGTCAATGAGGCTTATAAAATTCACACTCAGAAATGAAGCAAAAACGAGGAACCATAAAGCACCCTAAGAACTACTTCCAAAATCTTTTTTTTTCCCTCACTCTGGTGCCCAGGCTGGAGTGTAAAATCTTTCTTAACATGGTTAATAAATCAGAAGATAATGAGTATCATAAATGATTAGCTAATCTAAGTATTATACAGTGAAAATAGTATCGACATCCAGAGTTACCTAAAGGTTTGTCTTTTAGTTCTGGATTTGAGATCATTTCTACTTGTGCATAAAAGCAATCCAGATCCACGTGTACTATGACTCTGGAGCAAGAACTTCCCGTGGGCCATACTTGGTCATGAACTCCTGTATGATATGCAAATAAATACAAAACACACTCAGGCTGCTTATCATTTCTAGGCAACTGAGAGTGACTTAAAATATAGTAACTGTGAAGGAAGAATGCAGAGCATTAAGTATTTCCCAGAATGGAATTACGTGTCACAGACTCTACCATCTACAGCGGGGTCTTCAGTCCTGTTTACTTATCATTTCTGCATTTTTCTCGATAGGAATAAATTTGAGGAAAAATTCGTATCAACAATGGAGGCTGCAAGAGCTAATACTATCACTTGGAAGTTTACAGTAACTTTTAGGGTACATCAGCAGGGACAGAAAACTCGAAACAACGTTGGCTTCAAATCGACTTGGAAATCGCTGGTGACATGCCACTGGGGGAAAAGAAAGGAACCTGAAATACAAAACAGCAAAAGACAACCTGTGGGTTCCGGGGGGGAGGGGGCGGGGGGGGGAACTAATTTAGCTCCCACATTTGAGCAGGGTGATGTGGCTCAGTGCTGTCTGGGACATGACAGGCTACCAAGAGATCAGTAAGCCGAAAGACTGAGTATTTCTTTGATTTTAAAAAGCGGGTTGTGTCATGCGTGGGCGAAGGGCGACAGAGGCGACTTCTGCTCCCAGCACGGGCTAAAAACAGGGCAGGGTAACTGCAAGGCGACATTCTGGTTCGGATCCTGGAACAGGAAACGAGCCTTCGTGGGAAAACGGGTGAAACCTGAACCCGGCGTGTCGCTCAGCGCACAGGCTTATCCCCAGGCTAATTTCCTAGTCTCGATGTTCACGGGAATGAACCTCTCGGCAACTTGCAGGCCGACCTGGGGGTATTCCCGCTTTTCCGGGGCGGAGAGTGAGACCCGGGGCTTCGCCCGCGGGCCCGGGAGCTGGACGCGGTCAGCGGAGAGGCCACCCCGGCGGCCGCGGCCCGGCTCCCAGCCATCCCGTCCCGCCAGGCCGACAGCGGGTCCCCGGCTCCGCCCGGCGGGCGCCGAGGTCCTCGGCGTCGGCCTCCCGCCGCCCGAGGACCCCCTCGCCGGGCGAGGAGCGCAGACGCGCCCCCGGCAGCCCGCCCGGGGCCCTCGAGGCGGAACCCGAGGCGCGGGGCGGCCGGAAGGACGGAGGGAACGAGCCGCGGGGGGACCGTCGCGCCCGCCCGGCGACACCCCGAGAGG